TTGTTTTTCTCACAAGAAAAACAAAACAAAACAAAAAACAATTCTGTTTTCCTTTGGATTCGTTGGCTCAAGATGATTCGATTGCACCCTGATGTCATTCTCCATCATGAAACTTTTCCTGACATTGAGTTTTCTGTAAAACCTACTTTTTCGAACTCCTCCTGATTTACATGAAAATCTAAACAAATCATCTTTAGTCAATAAAAAAGGAATTCAAGTTGATTAGTCATTAGATTAGTTGATTAGTCGAATACCATGACAAATTCGACAAAGAGCACACCAAAATGGATGTTGCTCTGCAACGCTTTAGCATATGGTGTGTGTTGACAACCATGCAGTGTTGCCAGATTGGAAATGTCCAAGTATCGTACCAGAAGCTCAAAATTATCACGAGTCAATGTACAGAATACAGCTATTTATCTAAACCAACAACTTTTTGACATGACCTGCAAATTACCACAATAGATAACTAGGCTTACTGTGTTTACATTGGACGTGAGCAGTGCGACGAAATACTATAGAAACCATTATAATCAGTGACTGTTTGCACTGGATCCGACACGACACATCCCCGACAGTAAACTGATGCCTCGTTCTATTTATGACGTATTAAAATGATTTTTAACACTCACTTTGTCACATCCAGTGTAGACAGACTTCAGCGGTTAACTCCACATCTGAGCCGCTGTCATCGGAAGCCTGTGTGTTGCCAGATGTTGAGGGGGTTCTTGCCATCATGGACCGCAACATAGTGCACGTTGGCTTTAAAGCAGGGCACCCTCATGCATTCTTAACACACTCTGAGCCGATTTCGTGTATGAATATAGAAGCCCTATCACTACAACTACCATCATTTGAATTGTCATAAAATTATCGTACATTATGGGATTATTTTTTATTTATTTATTTATTTTTCCCATTATTGGTAGTACATCGTACAGAGGTCAAAATTATCTTACAAATACGATAATTATCGTACGTCTGGCAACACTGCATTGTACCAATAGACATGTTTATACCGGTAAGGCTAATTTTGCAGTTATGTGCTATTCACTTTCATACTGTTGCTAAAGATATTTACTTTGCAAGCTCTTCATATTACAGACCTAAAAAGACGACAGAAAATTTACTCACGATTGCTGTCCTGCGGCAAAACACGAGGGCAGTTGCGTTTTAGATCAATTCTGAGTGAGCGCGCAGTGGGCGCGTCAGTGAATGGTGAAATATTTCCATAAATTAATTGATCCTGCCAGAAGAATTGCGTGAAACTTATGTCTGTTCCGTCTGTATCATCTCAGTGTGGTTTTATACATGCACAGTAAGGCGAATGTAACGCTTTCAGACATTTCAGTGTGGATGATAAACTTTGGAAAAAACATTTGCTTCGTCGTTACAAAATGGCATCAACATCCGTTTATGTCATAATGTCGTTTAACAAACTTTAGCCACGAAAACCTGCCTTTAGCGACTTCACCTGAAAATTAATTAATTTGCAACACGACCTGCGCCGTTCGCGGAGGCAGCCTTGAGCTAGCGTCCGCTAAGAGAGCTGGAGGCCCGGCTGCGTATGGCACTGCGGCCGGAAGAGCCACGGTGAAAGGCTGAGCCGCAGCGGGAAGCGCGTGAGGCTTTGCTGCGGTGAGATCTGGGGCGTGGCCCAGGCTCGTTGAAGGCCTGCTGCTGCTGCGACCCAGCACTCAAGGAGAGCCGGGTCTTGTGCGGGACGATGGTAGTGTCGAGCTCGGGGCTTTGCACGGTCTATTGGCCAGAGCGTGTGGCTTGTCGAGAAGAGCAGCGGCCGCGATGAAGCCTGGTGCTCCGCAGCCGTTTCTGGCGGAGAAGGAGTGATCATGGGGCCGGCAAATTGCGGCGGAGGATCTGAAAAATCCCCAGTATAGGTCTTTTCGTTAGACGGGAAATTGGGTCTGTGGTAAAAAGGCAAAAGGAGCGAACCTGCGAATCAGCAAATGCTGAAAGTCGAGAGATAATGAAGGTAGGACGTACTTGGTTATTTATAGGAGTTTTCTCTTGCGCTGATTGGATAAATGGTGTAATCACTAATGATGAACTGGCCGTATTAATTATCTGTGCGTGCTCCTCCCGAAATTTGTTTATAAAACATCACAAAGTTTCCCAACGTGTACAAGCATGCAGTATTGGGGTATTTTTAGCTCCGCTCCTTTTGGCGTTTCTGCAATATAGAATATAGTGATATAAAATCAAGCGACTCGGATTTTGCGTTGCAGAGGCAATATGTGCATTATGGGCCTGCATCAAAATAATGCCAGGAAGGAAACTTTGAGTAGAAGGGACATTCTCTTTCCTCCGACTGTGTGCAAACTAATTAATTGTGTATTTGTGATTCTTTTAAATTGCATACTTGCTATATTAATATAATATTCAACTTATTGTCCAGACTGTGTTTCACTTGTCTGGTTGTTTGGCTGCATTTAATTCTGAGGAATTAAATCATGTAATAGTCATCTGGCTTTGAGAATTGAACTGTCTATATTAATTTAGTATATTCAGTCTTTAATCCAGACCGTGTTTCACTTGTCTGTTTTGTTGGTGTTGTTTTTGTTTTTGTTTTATTTTGTTTTGTTTTTTTTTTGGCTGCATTTAATTCTGAGGAATTAAATGGTGGAATAGTCATCTGGCTTTGAGGAGTTTAGATGTCTATTTAGAGGAGCTGAGGGTTGTTTTCGAGCCCCCATCAGAGAGACTTGGGGTTGAGGTGGTACTCGCAGCCGAAGTCCTCGCAGAGGCAAATGGATCTGAGGACCATCATCCTCTTGAGGAGGGCTTCAGTTCTGATGCTTCAAGCTGCCGAAAGGAAGGGGCTCACACTGCGTTTTCGTATGCCCACTTCTCCTCTGTGCCCTAAGGAGGCCGGTCTACCCACCCTGCCAGCTTTGGTGTTTCAGAACGCAGCAGTCTTCATTTTGGCCTAGTCTCTGCCCATGAATGTTGCAGGACAGGGAGGCTCAATCCCTCCGAGGAGTGCTGGAGAAGTATGCTTGGTTGTTCCCTGCCAGCAAGGCCCTTTCAGGGCACTGGGCATATTACTCAAATTATACACGAGGTCAGTCTCTTGAGACTGATACCTCTTTCACCAGGTAAAAGGTCTTGATGCCACAGTGCTCATGCCTCTGAGAGCAGACTCCTCTGTGGTGAAGTGGCTCACACTTCATTATACGGTGCCCGTTTCTCCTCGGTGCCTTCAGGGGACTGTTCTGCCAACCCCACTACCCTTGGTGCTTCAGGACGCAGTGGTTCCCGCCAAGCTCAGGTCTCAGTGTCCACCCAGGGACATTACAGCACTGGGATGCTCGTCCCCTCCAAGGAGGTCTTTGGACAAGTCAACTCAGTCAGTCCCTGCCGGTCATTTGCTTCAGGGCACCGAATTGACCACTCTAAATACACCAGAGGCCAGTCTAAAGAGACTAGTTACCTTAGTAGACCATCTGGTGTCACATCTGTCTCCTGTCTCCGATTTGATTCTTTCAGCTGTGAACAAGGTGAAGTTAAGCTAGTCACTCACTGTGAAACAATTCCAGAGACTGTTGGGTCTGATGGCAGTAGCATCCAACGTGATACCTTTTGGCCTGCTGTACTTGAGTGGTGGCTCGGGACCAAGAGGCTTTCATCGAGGGTAATCCATTCGCATGATCAAGGTCATGCGCAGATGCCTTCGTGCCTTAGTCATGTGGAAGAAGCCTTGGTTCTTGTCCCAGCGTCCCGTGTTGTGAGCTCCAGGTGCATCCCTCACAGGCTGAGGAGCAATCATGAATGGTTGCTCAGCTCAGGGTCTGTGAGGAGACCATCATCTCTCCTGGCACATAAATTGCCTGGAGACGTTGGCCGTGTTCCAAGTATTGAAACTCTTTCTTCCAGACCTGAGGCCATCATGTGCTTGTTCGTACAGACAACACATCAGTAGTCTCTTACATCAACCATCAGGGCTGTCTGCGGTCACACCCACTTTGCAAGTTGGCGCACCAGGTCTTGGTCTTTGGACGAGTCAGCTCAGTCAGTCCCTGTCAGTCATTTGCTTCAGGGCACCAAATTGACCACTCTAAATACACCAGAGGCCAGTCTCGAGAGACTAGTTCCCTCCTGTCTCCGATTCGATTCTTTCAGCTGTGAACAAGGTGCACCAGGTCCTCCTGTGGGTGCTGGGAAATGTGCTCTCCCTGAGGACAGTTTACATCCCTGGGCACCTCAATCAGGGACCAGACATCCTGTCGAGGCAGGGGCTGATGCCTGGGGAATGGAGGCTCCACCCTGAGGTGGTGGTGCAAATTTGGAGGGAATTTAGCCTGGTGGAAGTGTACCTGTTTGCGTCACTGTTTGTGATGCAGTTTGAGTTCCTTTGATAGGGAACGTCTGATGTTACGACTGTAAACATGGTTTACATTCGTAATCTGAAAGAGATGCTGTGTCACCTTACCATACTTCCTCCATCGCTTTGAGCGACTTGCTTCAATCTATCAGAAGCTAACTTTGTTTGTTCCGGATGCACTTTGAAGTTTACTGGTCATCACATCACCCCACCTGTGACTTTCCGCCATGCCATTGGACTGATTTCACATGTGCTTCAGGACCCAATCACACAGAGGTGTTCCCACAGTTTCACTGTTTGTGACACAGCGACTTGTTCACTCTCAGGGAACCATGGTTACAGTAATAACCTGAGACATTGTTGTGTTACACAGCCACTGGGTTAGTAGATGGGTCAATCTCAGCACCGCTGAATTGGTGCATTTCTTCACTGAAATAAAGATTTATATAAATTTTATTTTATCTATAAAGTCTTTACTGTGCTGTCAATAATTTTATATTATGCAAAGCAACATACAGGGATGAGATGCTAATCACTTAAATGCGTCAGTCAGTGTATTTTTGCATGATGGAAAAGCATTTTGCCTTGCATAAAATAAAACTGGTTTTATTAGTTATAAGACTGAATCTAATTACTTTGGATGTTACAATATGTGCAACACACTTGCTTGAGAACTAGCACTGTTTTCTTTGGAAAAGATGAGTTAATTACACTTAAATTACATTAAACAGTGCTTGTGTATTTTACAAAATTTTACAGGATTAAAATTATCTGGAAATATTAACACAGATATGAGATAAAAAAATAAGCTAGTGTTCCTGTTAGCATAAATCAACACACTATCCTGCAAATTCAGTTCCATTATTTTTTTTATTCCAGTTCATACAGAGATTTCTGTGTGGTCCTGCAGACCTGGTGTGGAGACTGCTAGCATGCATTATTTTGAATCAGTTGGGTGGACTGGGACTGAGCAGAACTTTGTTCTTGATGTTTTATTAACAAAGTTCGGGAGGAGCACGTCAGATACTTAGCCTAATTAACACAAGAGGAGCCCACTCAAGTCAATTAACACCGAGAGGTATAAATACAGCAGACTTACCTCTATCCTTTGACAGTTTATCAGCATCCCTCCACCGCCCCATCTCCTCACTTCGAGTTCTAACTACACTTATACGGGGGGAGTACTCTGAGTTCGGGCCATTCCCAGCATGCCCAATATGCATTACTATACTCCATCTAATTATATGTAATTGTGAACTCGTGAAATGGACTTAAAACAATTAAACTCTAATGGACTGCTGGCTTTTATTCGTGGATTGGTCAAAGTGTGGAATTTGTTCAAATGTGAGAGGATGGGATGTCATGATTCATTGTACTGGTTGCTTCAAGAGCCAGTCTTACACGGGACTCGGGACATTTGAGTACAACCTGTCAAATGGGTCCTAGTCTACTCAAGAAATTTTGTTTGTCCAATGTAGTGACTTTGGGATATTTAATTTAGTTTACAGGTGCAAACATGGACAATGATCATCTCCTTGCCGCTCATTTAAAGATAAACTCCACTTATGTAATCACATTGTTATTCAATAAGTGGAGAGAAGTTTTAACAGTCTCTGAGCATACTTTGCTGCATCTGTATTGTAACGGTTCTGTTCAACTCAATGGTAATGATATTTTTCCTTCGATAAGGGTTCTCCCAGATTTTAAGGATTATACAGGACTATTTTTAGAAAAGGCTAATTCCTTTGTGTCTGTACATGATGCTGATAAGAAATTGTTGTACACTTTATTTGTTAAAGTTCTGCACAGAGACAAATTAAATGGTAAAATGGACACTCCTTGGAGAGCTTGTTTAAGTCTGGTTGATAGTGTTGGACCTGAATGGAGAGCACTGTGCAAACCACCATTATTGCTGATCTGCAATGGAGGGTTTTACATGTTGTTGTTGTTTTAATGTTTTTAAAGGGGTCATATGATGCTGCTAAAAATAACATTATTTTGTGTATTTGGTAAGCGGCGGCTTAGAGTGTGCGGAGGCTGGCTTGAGTGAGCAGAGGCGGGCAGGCTTGAGAACGGCGCGGCCGGCGGATTCCACGAAGGAGCTTGCGGCAACCACATGTGACGACCCCAGGCTGGACTCCGCTTCCGTTCCGGCGATCGACAGCGCGAAGTTGATGTATTCCTTCAGCGACCAGCATGGATCAGCTCCAGGCATGACGAAGCAGATATTGTCCTCTTTTGGAAGGCCAACCAAAGTAGTTTTGCTTTCACAATGAAACACAGCGCCTTCATGACTTGGTGGCGGCGGCAACAACAATACTACAGCGAGAATAAAAGTTATGCCTTCTTTCTTTGCATGAACATTTGGGCGGTGTTCTTCCCACATCGTGACGTAGACATGTGGGGGCGTGTTAGAACGAGCCGTATTAGGTAGGCGTGGTTGACTCTTAACTTTTATAAAGAATATCTCTTTGGATTTGAGACTTTAGTCTTTGCAACTTTACAGATCTTCTTTATGCACCAAGAGCTTGTAACACTCCAAAGAGAAAGGAAAAATTGAAATCGCATCATATGACCCCGTTAAACGTTTTGTTTTAAACTCTGATGTTAATAAAAACTGTCCTTTCTGTACTCTGCGTGAAACAGTTTTTCATTGTTTTATGGATTGTTGCCGTCTCTTGCTTCTGTTTTCCATGCTGGAGAATCATTTTAATTTGTTTGGTGTAGTTTTTTTCTAAACAGATGTTTATTCTAGGTTATAGGTATTCACAGAAAAAGAGGGAGCAGTGTCAGCTTTTTAATTTTATTTTGAAAAAAGCAAAGATGGCTGTATATATGAGTAGACGAAATAGGGTGGAGGGATCTACAGATGATGATGTGTTATTCATATTTGTTAAAATGTTGAAAGCTTGTTTAAAAATAGATTTTAATTACTATAGTTTGATCTGAAAAAGATTATCCAGTATTTGGTACTACAAAAATGTACTTTGCTTTGTTGTAGAGGATGAATACATTTTTAATCATATGTTGATTTAGTGGGATTTGATTGTTTTTGTGATAATTGGTTTGTCTTAATAGTATTGTAAAATAAAAATAAAAAAATCCATGACAGTTGATCTAGAAAGAAAGAAAGAAAGAAAGATCATTTCTGACCAACTTTTTCCACTTTTGATGTCATCTCTAGTGAGAAAGAAGTATTGTAGCAAAAACAAAACAAAACAAAAAAATATATATATATATTAGTCGTGGTCAGAATTATTGGCACCCTTGGTAAATATGATCAAAGAAGGCTGTGAAAATAAATCTGCATTGTTAATCATTTTGATCTATTATTTAAAAAATTCACATAAATCTAACCTTTCATTGGAGAATAAGAATTTAAAATGGGGGGAAATATCATTATGACATAAATGTTTTTTTCTCAAATACACGTTGGACACAATTATTGGTACCCCTGGAAATTCTTATGAGTAAAATATCTGTGAAGTATATTCCCATTCATATTTACAATTTAAGAATTTCCAATCAACAGAAAATGTTACAAATCTTCCTGGAAGAGGACGTGTGTCTATATTGTCCTAATGCACGGTGAGAAGGAGAGTTTGAGTGGCTAAAGACTCTCCAAGGACCACAGCTGGAGAATTGCATAAAATAGTTGAGTCTCAGGGTCAGAAAACCTTAAAAAAATAAATAAATCAAACAGCACCTACACCACAGGGAGGGTTTCAAGAAAATGCTCTCATCCAAAAACAATCCCCATCATATTCTGTTGTCAGACACGACTGGAACTTCAAATGGGACTGGCTTCTATGGTCAGATGTAACTAAAAAATTAGCTTTTTAGCAACAAACACTCAAGATGGGTTTGGTGGCTTTCGCAATAGATGAGATCAATAAGAATCCAAACTTACTGCCTAACATCACTCTTGGTTACCATCTTTATGACAACTGTGTGAGACTAGGAATGGCATTTCGGGCTGCCATATCCCTAATTAGTGGGACTGAGAAGTCCTTCTCCAACCTCAACTGCACTGGTCCTCCGCCAGTAGTTGGTATTGTGGGTGATCCAAGTTCAACTCCTTCCATTGCGATTTCCAGTGTTCTGGGACTATTTAGAGTACCTATAGTAAGATGAGATGAAAAAAGTACAAATACACTGTATGCATATTTTTGCACTTTTCAGTTAAATGCTGTTTCCTTTTCAATAATATATATCCTTGATCTGTTTCTTCAGACCTTACTTTATCATCTGCTTGTGCATGAAAAAAATGACAAAAGCACTGATCATTTTTGTTGATTGTCAGTCTATTCTTTTCCGTCTCATGTCTTCTACTCTTTCTCACCATCTAACTTATTAGGTTAGTTACTACGCCACCTGCTCCTGTTTGAGTGACAGGAAAAAGTACCCCTCTTTCTTCAGAACAATCCCCAGCGATGCCTTCCAGGTGCGGGCTATGATTCAAATCTTGAGGCATTTTGGATGGACCTGGGTTGGTCTCATCTACAGTGATGATGATTATGGCGTCTACGCTGCTCAGTCCTTCCAGCAGGAAATGCAGCTGTTTGGACATTGTGTTGCTTTTTCTGAAATCCTACCCCATGATAACAACCCCAGAGATATCCAGCATATAACAGGTGTGATTCGGGCCTCTACAGCTAGAGTGGTGGTTGTTTTTTCCACTTCATCCTTTTTGTTACCTTTGATGGAGGAGGTGGTGTCGCAGAACATGACAGGCAGGCAGTGGATTGCGAGTGAAGCTTGGGCCACCTCACCTGTATACCACACACCACGTTTACTGCCCTTCTTGGGGGGCACACTGGGCATTGCCGTTAGACGTGGAAAGATCCAGGGGCTTCATGACTTTTTGCTCCGTATTCGTCCCAGCAATGAACCAAGAAATAATATGCTGAGGATCTTCTGGGAGAACATGTTCGGGTGCAGTTATGAAACTGGGGGTACGGTGAAAGATGGAGAGCAAGTGAAAAATGTATGTACAGGAGAGGAGGATCTGATCACCACAAACACACCATACACTGATGTTTCTGGGTTGAGAGCAGCTTATAATGTCTATAAGGCAGTTTATGCTCTGGCACATGCGCTTCATGACCTGATGCAGTGTGAGGAGGGGAGAGGACCATTCAGTGGGAACAGCTGTGCCGACATAACAAACCTGAAACCCTGGCAGGTAAGACCCACAGCTATAGTAAAGATTCTCTTTAGGCATATAGATCAGCTGAATGTGTAAAAGCAAAATATTTGCTTTATATTAATTCAAATTTCAGATAAACATATAACACCTGTCCTGTCTACAAACTGTACAGCTGGTTCACTACCTACAGAAAGTGAACTTCACCACAGGTTTTGGGGATCATGTGTCATTTGATAAGAATGGAGATGCTCTGGCCATCTATGATGTGTTGAACTGGCAGCCAAGCTCTGATGGATCAATAAGGATCTACACAGTTGGTGTAGTAAGTGAAGGAGTGACAACAGGGATAGTGCTCACACTGGATGAGGATGCGATATACTGGAACTTTGAGACAAAAAAAGTAACTAACATTGCTTGTTAATGTCATCCTTTTTGCAGATATGCAGTCTAAATTAAGAGTTTGGTTCCAAAACGCTATAAATCCATTTTGATTAATTTGAGTAAAAATGTGTTTTCTTTACCAAGAAAGTGGCAAGATGAAAAACAGTATTTTCTGTTTCAAACATTCACATAGCATCTTTAGGTTATAATAACATTAAAAATTCAAATCCAGATTTAGATTTTCAAAGATTTATTATAAAATTAATAATTTTTTCCCCCAAAATGCAATAAATCCATGACACGGTTTGTTTGTTTTTTTTGTTTTTTTTCAAAATGCAATAAATCCATTGAATCAATATAAAAGTTATTTTTCATATTGAAACTGTTGAAAATACACAACATGGTTAATCCACATATGCCTCTGAACTTGGTCAATACTAATCTTATATACAGGCACTGGACTAAAAATACATTCAATCAGTCAGCAATAAAAGAAAATTTCATCATGAACAAGAACATGAACAACAATATCACATTAGACCACAGAAATTCCAAAATGACATTTCCCTTACATTCAACTTCCAAAAGTGCATTCATCTTTGCCATGTTACATTCGTTTAGTTGACTAGTGCTATACACTGTATTAACAAAAACATAAATGGCATTAATAAAAACACTGATAAGCTACGCAATATTGCGTTCATAATCGAATGCGACTCATCTGCGATTATGAATGCGATATTGCATAGCTTGTCAGTGATCTACGGCTCTGTGTATTAAATGCCGCTCCATCTGAAAGCACGTGATGGAGATTTACTATTAATCACAGAACCGGCTTTACTGACGAGATGCGCATGACAATCACATGCGATTTATCGTACAGCCCAAAGTTTGTTTGTTGATCACGGAGTACAAAGTAGATGAGGAAAACTAGGATGCCGGGTGTATTCACAGAGCTGCCATTACTGTCTAGAGTGCGTGGAATGGTGCTCTGTGATTGGTTGAGCGGATATATCGCATTCTGCAGAGAAGGGAGACTGGCATTTGTCGCAGTTTGGAAAGAAAGGGAGAAAACATGACAGAATAACGCGGCGGATATCGCGTTACTGATTTTACTGATTTTGGCGGAAACTCAATTTTTTTTTGGAACCAAACTCTTCAAATAGTAGTCAATACCATGATAAGACAAATGAGAATAATTAATAGAGGCCAAGATTGTCATTATGTAAAAAAGATGAGAAACACATCACTAATAACAGTTGGTGTCTCTTTCAGCCCCCAAGGTCTGTGTGCAGTGAGAGCTGCCCCCCAGGCACCAGACGAGCCACACGCAAGGGCCTTCCTGTCTGCTGTTTTGACTGCCTGCCATGCGGAGATGGAGAGATTTCAAACACAACAGGTGTTTATTTTATTGTGGAGATTAATGTTTGAAAATTTGAATGTAACTCAGTTCCCTCTTACATTTTCACTTTCTCTCTCTTACTTAATCACAGATGCTATTGAGTGCACAACATGTCCAGATGAGTTCTGGTCCAGTCCAGATAATGATCAGTGTGTCCCGAAAGAAGTAGAATTTCTGTCCTATGAAGATCCTCTGGGCATCTCTCTGACCACTGCATCTCTTCTTGGCACTTGCTTTTGTGCTCTTGTGATGATCGTCTTCACTCTTCACCGTAACACTCCCATAGTTCGTGCCAACAACTCAGAGCTCAGTTTCCTGCTGCTGGTGTCACTCAAAATGTGTTTCCTGTGTGTGCTGCTGTTCATCGGCCAGCCGCAGTTATGGACGTGTCAGTTAAGACATGCTGTGTTTGGCATAAGCTTTGTCCTGTGCATTTCCAGCATCCTGGTCAAGACTATGGTGGTGATAGCCGTTTTCAAGTCATCTCGACCAGAGGGCAAAGGCGCTATGAAATGGTTTGGAGCAGTTCAACAAAGATGCACTGTTCTGGTCCTAACAGCCCTCCAGGTTGTGATATGTGCAGTCTGGCTATCAACTGCCTCTCCAACACCACATAAAAACAACCAGTATATCCGATCTAAAATAGTATATGAATGTGCTATAGGCTCAGTGGCTGGTTTTTCTATGCTGTTGGGATACATTGGACTGTTGGCAGCAGTAAGTTTCCTGTTAGCCTTCCTGGCAAGAAATCTTCCAGATAACTTTAATGAAACAAAGTTCATCACATTTAGCATGTTGATCTTCTGTGCTGTGTGGATTGCGTTTGTTCCAGCATATGTAAGCTCACCAGGGAAATATGCAGTAGCTGTGGAGATATTTGCCATTTTAGCTTCTAGTTTTGGATTACTGGTGGCCATATTTGCCCCAAAGTGCTACATCATCCTTTTACATCCAGAGAGAAACACTAAAAATGCCATCATGGGAAGAGAAACACAAAAGAAATAGTTTAACATCCTGTCTGCATATCTCTAGTGTATGAGCCTTCAAATCAATCAATGCTCTGCTTGTAGACATATGTATTAGTGTTCCTATTGTATGTAATTAAAACACGTGTCTTACAGTACATGCAGATGACTCATGCAATGCCTGTAATGTATTGAAACATGATATACTCACTAAAGTAACAGTAAATTGTAATAAATAAACAAATAAATAAATAAATGCTTTTTACTACAGTTTTAATTGCTTAAGGTTTTTTTTTTTTTTATCAGCATCTCCCTCATATGCTGGGCCGACTGATAAATTCACAGACTCATCTAAATGGAAAGGATACTAACAAATCATCTTTGATTGATGTTATTTTAACTAATGTACCCCATGTTTTCTCTGCGATTGGAATTTGTTGTAATGATATTAGTGACCACTGTGCAATATCGTGTGTGAGGATTTTAAGATGCTTAAGAGTTCACCCAGATTTATATATAAACAGGTATTTAAAATTTTCAATGTACAAGCTTTTTTTGCACGATGTGTATAATAGTCATTTACGGGAAATTTCACCTGATGTGGCTGTATTTTGGGATTATTTAAAATCTACTTTTTGGGAAATTTGTAATAAACATGCTCCTTTCCACAGATTTAGGGTGAGTGGAAAAAATAATCCCTGGTTCAACAAATCTGTCTCAAACCTTGTCAGGCAAAGGAATATAGCTTGGTCCACAGCAAAGAAAACTAATAGTATTGATGACTGGTCTCGTTATAGATTATTATGGAATAAATGCACAAAATTGATAAAAATTTCTAAAAATCAGTATTATTATAATCTGATTAATGATAATATGAATGATCCCTCTAAATTTAGGAAATTAACACAATCTCTTATAGGATCAAATAAATTTACTAGTTGTCCAAATGTTTTAAAACTGAACCAAAGACTAATTTCTGATAAGGCTGATATGGTTAATACATTTAATAGATATTTGATCTCTGCCAGTTCGATTATAAGCACGAATCATTCATTGGATATTGATGAACAGGGCATTGATGAATTGATTAGAACAGACTTATTTTCTTTTACCCCTATATTGTCCACTCAAGTTTATAAATTATTGTCAGATTTAGATTGTAAGAAGTCAGCTGGGCCTGATAAAATAGATCCAATTTTTTTAAAAGTCTCTGCAGACATTATTGCTGAACCAATTGCGTCGATTTTTAATTTAAGTTTATTAACTAATGTTATTACGTCGTCTTGGAAATCAGCTATGGTTATGCCTCTATTAAAGGGAGGAGATTCCTCTGATTTGAATAATTATCGCCCTATTTCCAGACTATCGGTTCTAGCAAAAGTATTTGAATCTTTGATAAGTGAACAAATGAAAGAATACTTAGACATAATATTTTAAACGTATTTCAGTCAGGGTTTAGAGCGGGCCATAGTATGATAATGGCTGCTACCCTAGTTACTAATGATTTAATTTCCGCCTTGGATAAGAGACAGCATTGTGCGGCTTTATTCGTCGATTTGACAAAAGCGTTTGATTTGGTGGATCATGCCTTATTGTTACAGAGACTTAAGAGTATAGGCCTCAGTAATATGGCCTTAGGGTGGTTTAAAAATTATTTATCAGATAGAACTCAATGTGTTTCTGTAGATAACTATACTTCATCAATGTTAACAGTCAAGAAGGGTGCTTTGTCTGGGTCACGACGAGTCGTTTCCCCATAGCGACCCCTAGAGGACGCAGTGTCTCGTTCCCTACTCAGGGAACCATGGTTACATAAGTAACTAAGACGTTTTCCTTTGGAGTTAGGCTGTTGATTTATGATTATTGTTTTGCTTTGTTTGTCTGTAATTCTGTTCTGTGTGTTGTATAACCTTTTAAATTTATGTGAAACTCTTTGTTTGTACAGTCATCTTGGCCAGGACTCCTTGAAAGAGATTTCTTTTAATCTCAATGGGACCTTCCTGGAAAAATAAAGGATTTAAAAAAAAAAAAAAGAAGAACTTTCCTTCATTGTAGTGCTGCCCAGTTAGAGCCCAAACCTAAATAATAATTAAAAAAAAAAACAATTCTAAAAACTTAACTTAAAGGTGTGGAGTGGGGGTTTTCATATAATTATCTCCACTGATGTTCTATGATGTTCAAACCCAGAGAGCAAGGTGACATTGATACAATGTTAATTTTTCATCCAAACCATAATTTTGGCTGAGATTGACATGTTGGATCAACATGGTTTGTTTTTTTGATGAAAGATGATATGACACATGGGTGGAGACAGGGATATTAAACCACCATTTATTTGTTACTGACAATCACAAGATCCTGAGAATATATCTCTGCATAATCACATGACCTGTGATTTGATGCTATCCTGTGCCTTATTTCTTGTTCTCCGATTAGATTTTACTTAAATTCATTTTTTACATCTCAGAAAGCTGCATTTTTATAGGGGTTTGTAGACTTTAACCCACTCTGCATTATATTTTGAAATAGAAGTTGTGTGAAAGAAAACAATTCTACATTTTAGGACATATTCATAGCAGGCTTTGAATGAAATGTGTGATCACTTTTGTCTGTTTTGGAAAATGTACTTGTGAAAATTGGACAAAATCTTCAGGACAGATTTGAGAAGCCCTTGCACTAAATGAATAACAAAAACAACCATGACTGTGACTCAGAACAGCTTTATTATAGGGAAACAGAATCACAAAACAGAAAAGAAAATTTCTCACCTGTATATTCATGCTTTTCCCATAAGAAACGTGTTATTGTTGTTTTCTGGCTTGAGTAAAATATTGCAACATTTTGGGACAAAGATACAAAACAAGAGTCCAAAACTAGAGGCCAATATGGCAAAAATTTCCACTGCTATGCTGTACTTCCCTGGCGAGCTGACATATGCTGGCACAAATGCAATCCACACAGCACAGAAGATCAGCATGCTGAAAGTAATTAATTTTGCTTCATTCAAAAAATCTGGAAGTTTACAGGCAAAGAAGGCCAGCAGGAAACAGACAGCAGCCAGAAAGCCAATGTAGCCCAGTACACGGGCGAATCCCACAGCTGACGCAACTGTGCACTCAAGGATGACCTTTGACCCTTGGATTCCAAAGTTACGGTGAGGTGAAGGTGGACTGACAGAGAGCCAAATGGCACAGATAACCACCTGGACACTGGTAAAGACCAGGGGCCTCATTTATAAAATGTGCATACACACAGATTTGATCTTAGAGTGTGCGTACGCTAAAATCCCCGGCAACGTTCATATTTATAAAAACGGTCTTTGACGTGGAAAAGTACTTACCACCACGTCAGGGTCTGAGCAGACATACGCACTTTTCCTTGTGGCAAAGTCGGAGTACTGCAGCTATTTGAACATCTAAGCTGCAATAATAATAAAAGCGGTGTACGTGCACGCACCAAATTCATCATAAACAACAAAGATGCAGTGTAAGAGATTAATTGTGCAGTGTACTCACATTTTTTATTTTTGCGAGATTAAACTGACCTTTTAAGTTTTTTGTTTTTGCGAGACCTTTTTAGTAGCCTAATGTTGAAATTTCTTTACTCGCTTTCTGTACAGTTTATTCCACGTTTTTTTATTATTATTTTATTTTACAAGAGAACTTGCGAAGTCTTGATTTACTACTAATGCATAAAATGGGGGAACAAATGCATAAACGCATCTCTGACTGTTTTGTCTGTGTAGCCTATAAGAATAGGCCTATGTCATGCAATAACGGTTTTAATATATTCTATTCAATAACATTGTTAACTGTTTTTATTTATAACATCTGCTGCTTTGCTTCTGTGAAAATGAATAGAGACATCAGCCTTAAATTTTATTTTTGTCATTTACATCAGTTATATTTGTAAAATTCAATATATATTTTTGTGTCAGTACATTAACTGCACATTTGAGCAGCATTAGTAAACTGTGTAAATATAAAGAAATGCCAAATCACATGCAGGTTTTTTCAGACCGGAGACCATAATAGTGTAATAATTTATTTTATGATATGAACCATCCAATTTTTCTTTCAATAATGATTTTTAAAGTTTTGCCAGAATTCCGTGATACTAAACTTCTTATTAGTTGTCATAGGAAGTGATTTTAAAAGTAAGATGGCTCACTTTTTATAAGATGACTGAATTTTACTTGAATTCGTAGTTTATTCTTACTTTTGGAGACACAATTGTTTTATCATTATTATTATTATTATTATTATTATTTCTGTTGTTTCTAGAAGTAATAAT